TTTTTTCAATAAGCGTTCGGTTAAGTCGTTCAGCTTTTCCATTCAACTGAGGAGTATAAGGAATAGAATAGTCTAAAATAATTCCTTTATCATTGCACCAGTTTGTCAATTCCTTACTTAGATATTCTCTTCCGTTGTCACTTCTCAATTTTGATACTGGTAGTTGCCATTTTGCTTCAATAGTATTAATGAATTGTTTTACCTTGTCTGCAACCTCATTTTTCCTTTCAATAAGAAAAATCATAACGAAGTGAGTATAATCGTCTAAGAAGGTGAGAATATAATTCTTCTTATCCCACGTGCATGGATCTATGGGTCCACAAACATCTGTATGAATTAATTCTAATGGCCTTTTCGCTCTTTTCCTTTCTCTACCAAATGGTGTTCTTGTTTGTTTGGGTTTAGGGCATATTTCACAATTTTTAATTGCTTCTTCTAATTCCTCAACTTCAAAAAATATACTTTCTGAAAATTTCATAAGTTTCTTCATATTTTTAATTCCTAAATGTCCCATTTTCCTGTGCCAGTCATAAGCTGTTTCATATTTACTCGTCAGCAATGCATTTTCTGTTTCTATTTGTTTACCTAAATCAACCTTCCAAAGACCTTGTTTTGTTCTAATTACATTAAACTTTTTATCATCTTTTTGTATTTCCGTTTTATCAACATCGAACAAAACTCGTCCGCCACTTTCTATTATTGCATTTACTGAGAGTAAATTTTTAGTTAATTCTGGAACAAATAAAACATTTTTCAGAATACAACAATCTGTTTCTATTGTACCTACTCCTTTTGCTTTCATTGTCTGATTCTTTTTTGCCAACAACTTCTTTTTCTTTCCTAAATAACTCTTTAAACAGTTTTATATCGTTTGCCATATGTGATGAAGATCCTGAATCCAGTATCCACCAATTAGATTCTTTTTGTGTATCAACTTCAATATTAACCATGAATGAAACTTTATTTTCCTTGTCTCCTTCTTTTGACCTGATTTTATTTTTCCTAAAATAGCAATCTTTTTCCAAATGATTAGTTTTTTTACAGATGCTACATTTAGGTTTATATTCAGCGTCATTTAGATTTTTACAGTATTTCGCAAAATGTCCTGGTTCATTACATTTAAAACAGCGTAGATTTTGCTTGTCTTGTATATTATGCATCATTTTACTTTTTACCTTCATGTTTTTATACTTCTCTTGTTTCTTCTCATTAATTTTAAAAGCCACCGGTTCTTCTTTTTCTTGAATCGTATTCGATCTACTTTCTTCTGCTAAAAGCCTTGCAGTAAGATTCGTTAGTGTCTTTTGATCAGCAGGAGTAGAATTCCACGCACTCGTAAAATGTTTAAATACTTCCGGCAATGTAACCAGAATTTTTGACATAATCATAGTATCATCTAATGCCGTATTTAGTATCTTTAATTTATAAGCCATATTTTGTAGTGTACTCACGTGCGTAGTAATATCCTTTCCACGTTGATATTTATAATTATAGAACTCCTGTAACAAAAGACATTTTTGCTGTTCCGTGTCTCTCTCAAAAACAGAACAAATTTTTTTGGAACATTTCCTTCGAAGAGTTGCACGTTAATATAT